TTTGAGATTCTCACTAAGTTCACTAAATATCCTTATAACCAGTGTTTTGATCTCTGCATCTAGTATGTTGCTTATACCCATTTTGTTTAGTTCTCTTTCTGGAGTTTTGTTCTGTTCTTTCCTTTGAGCGGTGTTTCTTTGTTTCCTGGGGCAGCCTCCGCAGGCTTGGTAGAGTGGTCTAGTGTAGAAGATGTTCTGTAGGGTCCAGTGGCACAGTCTCTCATCACCCAATCTGGGTACTCAATGTGTAGCCTACCTGTGTAGGCTATGTATACACTCCTCTTGTAGTTGACTCATGATTGCTCCTGTCATGCCAATGGGATAAATTTACTGAGGCCGATCAGCTACAAAGACTGGCTTTGACCACTGACCTCTGACTACCATGGAGGTCCACCCTGCAGAGTAGGACTTATTTCAGCAGATCTTGTGTTCATGCTGAGTTCACCCCTTGAGTGTGTCTCTTGTAGAGGTAGTTGGATGGTGCTGATGTGATGTGAAGCTGTCCAAGGGTGTGCTGACTCTGGGGCTTCCCTGCCAGTGCAGACCAAGGTCAGCTACTGCCTCTGTTCTTCCCAGGGCCAACTGACATGAACTACGAAGTGATCTGCAGATGACTGCTACTTGTGCTGGACTTGGAGGTGCCTAGGAGAGACCAGGCTGTGATCTAAGGCCAGCTACTGCTAATGCCAGGCATGGGGCCACTTAACGTGAGGTATGGGGCTTGCTGAGGGCAGATGCTGCTTGTTTGAGAGAATTTAGAAAAACCTGAAGTATGAACCAAGACATGTCATTTGTGTAGAAAAGTTCCTGCAAACAGCTTGGGTGAGCCTGAAAGTTGAGTAGGCCCTAGCCTCAGAAAATCACCAGAGTGGGGCAAAAAGTGTGAGCCAGGTTGATGGAGACTCATATATGGTGCCCACCTGTCGGAGAAAGCTGCCCCACAAGCTCTCAGCCTGATGCCAAATAATTCAATTCCTCCCTATGTCTCCAGTGCCTTTCAAGCTGCTGCCCCACACTTGAGGTCAGAGCGAGTGAGTCTTAAGTCTGTACACAGGCCTTTTAACAGGAACTGCCAGAGACTCCCAACAGCTTTCGTCTTCCTTAGCCTCAGTCCCCGCTGGTTTTCACAGCCAGAAGTTATGGAGACTTCTTTTCCTTGCTCTGGAACCCATTCCTACTTAGGGGGGGTGGGGCCTCTGTGCTGAGAAATCCCTGTAGATTTTTATCTAACACACATTGATGTGGTACCAGCTCATTCAGCAACTTCACCCATCCTATCACTCTCAGTGTGGTTTCTTCTTTAATTCTGTGATTATAGGACTTCCATTCAGCTTGATTTCAGGTGGTTCTGAATGATGGTTTTTCTGTAGTTTATTGTAATTTTGATGTGGTTGTGGGAGGAGGTGAGTATTGTGTTTACCTCTGCTGCCATCTTGATTAGAAGTAGTCCCCCTCTAATATTTCTTCAACTCCTTTTCCATTCCTGGGATACCTAGACTCTACAACTTCAAAACCTTTAAGCACATATTTAGTCATATTTTACATACAAAAATTTCAGAATTGCTACACCTACACCACTGAAAAAAATTAAATGGTTAAGTAGACTTAAAAATTCTATACAATTACTGTTGTCTTTTGCCTGAATATATGTAGTACAAGTACTGTGTTGAAAAATTACTTTAATTGATTGTTTTTATTTATTTATTTTGTGCAATTGTGGTATTTATTATTTGAATAATAATAAATTCAAATAATAATAAATTCATAATAATTCAAATAATAATAAATTATTTGAAATACAATTAGCTTCATTTATTACTTTGTTTTATTACTTTGCTTTTAATTTGAAAGTTCTTTTATCCTTGATTTAAATTCATTTTTTAATAAATTGTACTAAAAGTTCCAAATCCAAACTATACAAATAGTATAATCAGAAGTGTCATCCTTCTATCGGTTTCACTTTATTCTCTCCCCCTCCTGTGGTCAACTGTTTTATTAGTTACTGGTTAACCTTCCTTTGATTATTTTTTAAAGCCAACAGGTGGCTGTTTCTGGCTCCACATCACTCTGACTTTCTCTGCGTCTTACTTGTAGACACTCTTTTAAAAGGGATAACCATGAGGGAAATCTCCCTTTTAACTATTGTAGTCAACTGACTAGGGGCCTTAAGTACATCTGTAAGATTCCTTCATCTTTGCTATGTAACATTACCTTAAGAGAATGATATCCCACCGTATTCAAAGGTCTCGGCTACACTGATGCTACATATGAGGTGTGTTTCTGAATCCACTTCACATGGATACAGAGCCCACATCAGCTGAATCACACTTGGGGCACATGCAGGACATCTATTTTGTTAAAGAAAATATTATTAAAGACACTTGTTAATGATTGTAAGGATGGCTTTATTTAAGGGTATACTATTGCAATAGGGACCACTGAAATGGGATCTTGGTGTAGGAAGAAAGAGATTAGAGTTAACTGTAAATACAACAAGAACAAGTGGGAATTTATAGCTATAGATTGGGGGTGAAGGGTGGGGGCCGGTGAATTGGAAAATGCTAAGAGAAAACATCAGGAGTAAGGAGGTATTCTGGCTAAATCCACCTAACAAGATTCTTGCTGAAAGCAGGAGAGAGAGAACAATCAGCTGAGGGAATGATCAGGGGTGAGGAATCTGACCAGTGAAAGTGAAGGAGTTTGGATAAATTTACTTAGAAGCATTCTTGCTGAAGTTGGTAGTACAGAGAGGAATAGGAAGCCCAGATAGCAGGCATAGTTGAGAAGGAGTCCAGAAGAGCTTAGCAGAATTTGTTGAAGGAGACTTTTTATCAGTTTCTACCTCACAAAAAAGGATTTTTAACTTAAACCTTTTTTTGACTTGTTGAAAAGGAAACTCAGCTTTCAGCACAAGTAGCCCCTACAATTCTAAGATTTTTTCTTTAATAAAATGTATTTGTACCTCTACAGCAGGAATAGAGAAATGGTATGTTTGTACAAACCATACTTTTATGAAAATGGATTCTTGCCCTAGCCAATGTGGGTCGGTTGGTTGGAGCATTGTCCCATAAACTGAAATGTCATGTGTTTGATTCCCAGTCAGGGCACATGCCTAGGTTCTGGGTTTTGTCCCTGGTCAGGGCACGTATGAGAGACAATGGATTGGTGTTTCTCTCCCTCTCTCTCTTTCTCCCTCCCCCTCATTCTAAAATCAATAAGCTTGTCCGAAGGTGAGGATTAAAAATAATGGGTCCTCATACCACATTCTTTTATTTTTTTGTGGCTTTATATTTTATTTTTTATTTTTAACTATATTTTATTAATTATGCTTATTACAGTTGTGCCACTTTTTTATTTCCTTTATTCCCCCCTGTGCCCTGACTCCCCTACCCACATTCCCACCCCCTTAGTTCATGTCTATGTGTCGTATATATATAAGTCCTTTGGCTTCTCCATTTCCTATACTATTCTTAACCTCACCTTGTCTATTTTGTACCTAACATTTATGCTTCTTATTCCCTGTACCTTTTCTGTCATACTCCCCCCTTGCCCTCCTCCTTTCCACTGATAACCCTCCATGTGATCTCCATTTCTGTGATTTCGTTCCTGTTCAGTTGCTTGATTAGTTTGTTTTTGTTTATGTTTTTGTTTTCTAGGTTCAGTTGTTGATAGTTGTGACTTTGTTGTTACTTTACAAGATGAATCAGAGAAGCCCGAACTGGTGCACTCACAGGCTGTGACATCAGCTTCTACTGACCTGAAAACATGATCCACCAGCTACACTGGCCATGGCTCCAGGCCTGAAAGTCGATGTTACATGAGGCCATTGTGATTTACACAAGCATGCTATCCATTAGAGAATGAGGACACAGCCGAGTCTAGCTCACAGAAGGCATGTGCAAGCCTGAGGGGCATGAACCCCATCTTGTGGGGCAGAGAGAGGCCGGTGAATTTGTGGGGACAGGGGCTGCAGGACTGTCTCAGGGAGAGAGAGAGCATTGTTCTGCATTAGGAACTATAACAAGGAGACATTGTTTTTAATAAAAGAGAAGCTTTTCTCCCCGTAGATTGTCATGATGCAGCTGGACTCCCCACATAGGTGACTCTTGGTGCAGAGACAGAAATGGGTGGTCATGTGTCCTTAGAGATCCTAAAAGTCAGTGGGCTCAGAAGAACCCTCAACTACTATCTATGTATACCCGTCAAAGTGCAGATACTCAAAACCCACTCCAGGAATTCAGTTTCAGTGACGTGGGGTTTAGTTATCCAGTGATTGTCTTGGGGCAGCCAGGGTTACAAGCTGCTGCCCTGGGATCTGGCCATGGGTACCACTCCAAGCCCATCTGCTGCATAGTCCAAAATCACTGAGCCTATAAAACACCTTCACTGAACCAGTAGGGAAACCAAGGCCTGGAAGGGACAGGGGTTGGCCAAGTCGTATTGTGAATCAGTGACAGGGCCCAAAATACAACCCTGCCAGTTTAAGGCCAACGTCCAAGGAATAAGAGATTTGATGATGTCCTAGATCACTGCCATCTACTACAAAAGAACAGAAACCTCAAATACTAGCCACTTATGTAGTGGCAAACTTTTTTTTAGTAGTCACATTAAAAGAAAGACTAAAGTGAAACTGGTGAAATTAATTACAGTACACTTATTTAATCCAAATAATAAAAAATCATTTCAACTTGTAATTGATGTTAAATTATTAATCAGGTACTTTACTTTGTGTGCTAAGTTTTGAAAACCTGGTGTCTTTTACAGTCCCCAGCACATTTCAGTTCAGAGCAGCTGTATATTCCAGGTGCTCAGCAGCCACATGCAGGTCTTGCACCTCACTGACCCAAGTGAGCTCCACAGAGCAGCCACCACTGGCCAGACCAAGCTTTGTCATGCACTTGGGATCAGAACCTGCCTTAACCTGGCCTCCGGGAACCGCTGTGCACACGGACGCTTGAGGAGCAGGATCCAGCTCACACACAGAACTCTCCAGGTCCAGAGTGGCAGTGGTAGCTTCACCACCACACCCCAACCACCTACCTTTTCATGATATGCTTTCCCACCTCTGTGGAGCCTGTGAACCCAATCTTCCGCACATCAGGATGGTCTGAGAGTCTCTGGCCAACCAGTGGGCCTGTGGATGGGAGTAGGCAAAGGGTGGGGGCGGTGAGAGAGTCAGGGAGGCATCTGAGGGGCCGGAGTAGGGAGAGATGAACCCCGTTACCCTTCATATGTCCACCCGAGGCTAGAGTTCTGGGCTGTGCCCCGTGTGCTTAATGCCATCAGTTCCTGGGGCTCATTGGGTCTTGCTCCCTGTTAAGGGCATAATTGTATTCCCCCGAAATCCATATTTATAGATGTAGATGTGAACAAAACCAACTCCATATCTGTGTCCTGGATTTCATTTCATTTTTGAGTTTCATGTTGTGACCTTGACCAACCTCACTCTCCTTAGGAAGCCTGTCAGAGCTTTCTAGATGATGGTGATCTGTTTTCCTTAGAATGTAGCCATAAATATTTTTGTTAGTAGCAGCCATAATGGCATGACAACCGAGATAAATATCAAAGTGGTAATAATAGTACCAATTATAAACAATCATCTATCACAAAACCACTGGAGGTGGTCTTGTCCCTTTGTCCTGTCAGTCTTTAGTGCCTGAGTCATACTATTAAACAATTACAGTAACAGGGGTCTGTTAGAGGAGAATAATCTGTACAGAGTTGCTGGGTCATCTCTTCTGCTCTGATCCTATCTTCCCATGAAGTGAATTACCCTACGGTAAATTCTGTTAGTCTATGGAGTGGCCCGCTTCATCTTTCAGTGTGAAGATACCTTCTCGCTATGGTGGCCATTATACCTTTGCCCCACCATCAGACACATGGGTCGAAGCCCTGAGCCCCAGTCACATGTGACTGTATTTAGAGACAGGGTTTTTAAAAAGGTAATTAAGGTCAAATGAGGTAATTAACCAAGGGTTATTATCCCTAGTCCAATCTGACTGGTGTCCTTATAAGAAGAGCAACTTGGACAGACACAGAGGAAAGGTCCTGTGAAGACACAGGGAGAAGATGGCCATCTGAAAACCAAGAGAGAAGCCTCGGAAGGAACCAACCCTACTCATACTTAGATCTTGGACTTATGGCCTCCAGAACTGTCAGAAATAAAGTCTGTTGTTTAAGCCCCCCAGTCTGTGGTACCTTGTTACAACAGCCAAAACAAACTCATACCACCTACATGTGGCTTTTGATCCATCAAGGTAGACGCCAAGGGTGCGGGCACCCAGGCATCCAGCTCTCCCACGTCTCCAGCAGAGATCTGAGGATTGCCTGGCCTGGCTGTGGGGGCAGTGATGCCCAGGCATCACAGACTCCAAAAGGCCTTCCTTGGGGATGTAGGAGGGCCCCAGGAGGGTCCCAGGCATGGAGAGACTGGCTGGGCGGGGGGCGGTGCTGGTGTGCAGAACCCAGGCATTTGCCGCCCTGCCTATTTGCCCCATCTATTTGGAATGCTTGGAACCTGACTTGCCCCTCACCCCCATGACCTTCTCACTTCACCCCAAGCCCTGCCTATGCCCTGCCCCCAGATGTGGTGAATTCCTATTCACCCTCAGATTTCCTTTTCAATGAGGCTACAGGGTCACCTCTCCCCATCCCACTGGCTCTGCACTGGGTTGCTCTGCCTGCCAGGGCACATCATGTAGTGGTCCTTGTTCTGACTAACTGCATCTCCAACTCCTGGAGCCCTGGCTCCCCCCATTTATAGCCCTTACCAGATCCTGGGAGGATGTTGATCACACCCTTAGGAATGCCAGCCTTCAAGGTCAGCTCTGCAAACTTCAAGGCTGTGAGTGGGGTCACCTAAGGAGGCAGGAGAGAAGACTGGGTCAGGAGGGATTGGGAAGTGGAGCTCTGTCATTCTCTCTCAGGAGCCTAGGAAGCAATCAGGGAGGGACAACTGTGGCAGGAAGACCCATGGGGGAAGACATGTTCATGCCTCACCGTAGTGGGTATCAGCAACCCAGCCAGCTTGCCAGGGAACAGGGCCTGCTAACCTTAGGTGCCTTTCTAGCACCTTCTCCTGATAGGGTTCCAGCCCCTCTGCCAGGCCTGGGCCCCTGCCTGCTTGTGTCACTGTTTACACTGATCCCTCAGGGAGTGCAGAGTCTGAGGACTGTGCAGCAGGGCATCACTCTCAGAAGGCTGCAGGGCATACCCTCTCCCTGCCCCCTCAGAAAAACTAGCCTCCTTCTCTCACTGTGATGCTGCCTTAGCAGCTCACCTGCTGCTGGGCCCTGGCAGCACTTCAGCCCAGGGAGGGCTTGGTGTTTCAGGGTCCAGCTGAGATTCTGATGACCACTCCACTGCTGGAGATAGTGCCCTGCCCTTGACTAGCCAGCAGTTGACCCTCCTCTACAGAAGAAGGGAATCAATTTCTGGTTGAGCTAACTGTCCTAGTCAAGGTAAGGTTTTGTGCTCCACATACCACCAGGCCTCAGGCTGAGGGGCCAAATCTGTGGGGTGTTGGCCCTGGGAGTAGGGTCTTTGTGTTTCCAAGGACAGTGGGCTAGTGGGGGTCTTCTAGGGACAACAGCCGCCCACATGAAAAGGGGAAGGTTAAAGGTCGTCTCAGGGGTTGTTATGATGCTTAAATAAGCAAATGTATATAAATTACTATTTATGTGTTATATATGTTAAAATGCTCAAGGAGTGCCTAACTCCAGGCACTATAATACTATATATGCTGGCTATCATTATTATTTGTTGGGGGGGGAATTGCCCCAAAGAAGCTGGGGCAGTGGGAGACCTCCTGGGTGCACTGTTGAGAGTCACATGCCAGAGGATCTCACATCAGTTCCTAACTCCCCTCTGGAGGCAGGCAGGGAAGGAGCTGTTGTTGTCAATGCACAGATGAAGAAGCAGAGGTTCATGGAGGAGAGGGTGTTTTCACCCCTGGAGGACCTTGTCCATGCCCTCCTGGCCCGTATGATTAGCCCCTGATGTCCCACCTCTATGTCTCCTCTGTAAGGGGCTGCGGTGGCAAATGCCCAAATCCCACTGCTCACCCCATCTCCCTCCAGAACTTTAGTCTCTGAGGCCAAATGGGAGACAATGGCACCAGCTTTACTAATAGACCACTGTAGGGTGTCTCAGAGCATGGGGCCATGGCAAGGGGCAGCAAGCAAGGCTTCTGGCTCTCCAGAATCCCAAATTCTGGGGCTGTGGAGAAATCCCTGACTCTGCTCACCAGGCAGCTGCAAACAGCACAGTTACCCTGATGCAGCCACCCCATGGTGGAAAGCACATAGAACCTGCTTATGGCTGGCACTGGCCCTGCTGCACACTGCCTCTGCCACTGTGAGCGGGGCTCACGGCAGGCTGGCTCTCATCAGCAGTACCCTTTCTCCCTTGAGAAGAAACCAGGACCAGTGTCGGTAAAGGGGCTCATGGGCCATCTGGCTCCTCCCTTACATGGTGCTTCCCCATAACCTCTACAGCCCATGGGCCCTGTCTATACCCACCTGGGTAGGCTTGATCACCACTGTGTTCCCAGCAGCCAGGCAGGCAGCCGTCTTCCAGGAGAGCATCATCAGGGGATAGTTCCAGGGGATAATAATGCCACAGACCCTGCCATACAAAAAGAAGAAGGCCTTCATCTCTCCACTCAGCTGGGGTACCCACAGTGGATCTACCAGCTGCCTCCTCTCTCCCAGGCCTGCTATCTTCTCCAGAGCCAAACTTCTTGATATGGCACCAAAGGTCCTGCTGAAGGCAGCTCCTGCCTGCCTTTCGAGGCCTAGATGGAGCAAGTGTATCCAGTCTGACAGGAGCCCTTCTTCCCAGGTCATGATGGCACGGGACACTGGGCAGTTTCTGATGGGAGCTATGAGACCAGTCTAGGGGTGCAGTTTGGTAGGGTGTGGCACCAGGCAATAGGGTTGGTGATAGCAGACAAGCATGGGTAAGAACCTGGCAGCTAGCAGGGACTGGGAGAGGGCTCCAGGTGACATGGCAGGCTGGGGGGGGATGTGGTAGGGCCCAGGGTCACACAAGTAGGCCAGAGATGTGAGAGAGAGTTTTCCCACGTGTGAGGTCAGGACTCAGTCTTGTGAAGAAGAAAAACAGTCATCCTGGAAGAACTGATCAAGTTTGCCTGCCTGGAATTAAGACATGGCACCCAGTGCTGCACCACCTCTCAGTAGTGGAGAAAGCCTCTGGCTGGGCAGTGTCTCCATGGAGGGGACGCCACCCCACAGTCCTGGGGAACCTGAAGATGACACGTGTGGTCCCAGCACACATGTGCCCCTGACTTTCCCTTTCCTCTGCAGGAGCTAGTGCACGCAAGAGCCCCACACTGACTACGAGACTGTTTTCAAAATCACCGTCATCATCTTCATGACCCCTATCACCATCAGAGAACACTTGCAAAAGGATGACTGCTGAGCTGAGCCCAGGCAGTAGGAGTGGGTGGTGAGAAACCACAGGGTGTAGGGGCCAGCACAGTAAGAGCAAGGGGGACACTGAGCAGGCACAGAGGTTGGCTTGGGGCCCCCACGCCGTCCTGTGAGTGATGGGGGCACACTGAGGGGTTACAAGAGCCACTTTCCCACACCATATACACCCAGCAAACTCAAAGAGACAAGACAGGGAGAGGGACCAGAGTGAGTATTCCCAGGAAAGTGGTGAGGTCACCAGTGAGAGAGAGGGCTGGGTTGTGGGGTTTTCAAAACACAAAAGATGTCAGAGAAATAAGTCCCACTGTCATGGGCTGAATTGTGCCCTCCAAAATCCATATGCTGAATGAAGTCCCTAATTCCAGAACCTCAGAATGTGACCTCATTTGGAAATAAGGCCAGGGCAAGTGTAATGAGTTAAGATCAGGCCTTCCTGAAGTAGGGTGGATGCCTAACTCAGTAGGACTGTTGTCCTTGTGAAGAGCATGCTGTGTGAAAGGACAGACACACAGAGGGAGAACTGCATGTGAACATGCAGACAGAGTTGGACAACACCAAACATTGCCAGAGAATCCCCAGAAGCTAGGGGAGTGGGCTGGAGCAGTTTCTCCCTCATGGCCTTAGAAAGACCCAACCCTGGCAAAGACACCTTGATCTGGGACTTCCACCCCCAAAATGCTAAGAAAACAAGTATGTGTTGTTTGAGGAGCCTCCCAGTTCTTTGTTATGGTGGCTCCAGTAAACCTCTGCATGTGTCAATATAGGGGAAAGGTTGTGGCCCCTGGGACTGGAGGTCCACAGAGCAGGCCCTTGCATGGGGTCAAGGCCAAGGGGGGTGTAGGACACAAGGACAAGATGAATACATCCTTGGCTAAGCTGCCATTAGAAGGCTTTTTCACTAGCCTCTGTGCCTCATCTATTCCTGGTGACCTTTCTTAGTGGGACCCCATGGCTTTGGCTCCCCCAGTGTTGAGGCCTCCACCTCCCAGCCACGGCCCTGCTGTGCTCCGCTTTGTTGGGCACTGCAATGGGGTGACTCCTGCCTGTCCCAGGGTTCTGTCTTGAGCCAGTGCTCAAGGTAGTTGAGGGTGGGGTGAGGTGGCTGTGGCCTCACTCCCGAGGTCAATGGGGCACTGGCCAGGGCAGCCAGTTGGTGCCCACTGGTTGGAACCATTCCCTCCTCTGTTGGCAGACATTTTGGGAATGCCCTATGTGTGCCCTGGGGGTGCAGCAGCCTCAGTTCGCATGATGTATGTCATCCAGAAAACAAAATAAGATTGCAGACTACAGAGTAGGCTACCTTGGGGCACTGGTCTGGGGGAAAAAGGCTGCCACACAAGTGACATCTAAATGACCAAGGACTAGAGGCTGGGGAAGGGGTTGGTGCAAATCCCCAGAGTGCAGCATGAGTGCAGAGGGTCCAGGGTCCATGAGGAGGCCGACGTGGCTGAGTGCAGTGAGGGGATAGACTCAAGGGCACCAGGCCAAAGTCAGCGGTCTGATTCCATTTTAGGTGCACTGGGAGCCACTGCAGGACACTAAGAGAAGCGGTGAGATGGGCTCACAAATTTTCTAATATTCTCTGAACATCAGAAAGGGCTGGTCTTTTGTCTTTCTCGGCACCAGGTAGGCATTCTTCTCCCCATAGCTTAAGTTGTTTGGCCTGGTCTGGGGAACCCCTCCCCTGGAGTCTATGCTCCCTCCAGCCTCACCTCTCCCTGTGGCCTAAAGGAGGGGTTTCCCTACATCCACAGCCCACTCTCCCTGGGCCATTGGGCCATCTAATGGTGAAACAAGGCCTCTTGGTGCTGAGTTTCAATCACTTCCCCTGTCCCTAGTTTTGCCTATGCTGACTGGACACTTTCTCTTTCTCTCTCTCTCTCTCTCTCTCTCTCTCTCTCTCTCTCTCTCTCTGTCTCTCTCTCTTTTTCCCACTGAGCACCTGTCTCTGCTCTTGCCTCTTCTCCATCAGTTTCTCTATTCCTTGGGGTTGTGTAAGAGTCCTTCATTTTTAAGCACATTGATTATTATACTCTTTTCAGATAAAGTTTTTTTAAGATTTTATGTATTTATTTTTTTAGAGAGAGGAGAAGGGAGGGAGAAAGAGAGCGTGAGAAACATTGATAGGTTGCCTCTTGTACACATCCCCAACCAGGGACATGGCCCACAACCTGGGCATGTTCCCTGACCAGGAATTGAACCAGTGACCTGGTGACCTTTCAGTTTGCAGGATGGCCCAACCCACTGAGCCACAGCAGTCAGGGAGCAGGTAAGTTTGGTGGGCATTTCCCACTGTAATGCTGACTGATATAGTGTTATTTTGTGGATTACATAGGATTTATATTTGTAAAGTGGTTAAAATAGTGCCTGGCACAGAACAGGTACTGTGGAAGTAGAAGTTGTTTTTATCCTGAGAATGGGCATTTTCATCAGTTTTGAGCATTGTTGTACCTCCAGCTCCTGAAATGTCTGGCACATAGTAGTTGGCAAATAAGTGGACGTTCAATAAATACACAAACAGAAGATGGTATCAGTGTCCCACACAGCATGTTGCATGAAGAGCAGCTGGGGTGTGGCCACTCTCCCCTCTGTGCTGTGACTCACCCAATTGGCTCCTTCCTGGTCAAGGTCAGGTTTCGGTTGGGTCTGGCCTGGTTGATGGGGATGGTGGAACCCTGGAAGAAGCATGGAGGGTGTCAGTGGGAGGGGGCTCCAGTCTCTCACACCTTCCCTCTGGGCATCCAGACCGACCTTGGGGCCCAGAAAAGAGCAGGGTCTTCTCTGTGTCCTGATGCCCCCACTACCCAAATGAGTAGGGGACCCAAACCTCCCAACTTATTATATATGATGGGGACCTCTGAGTTCAGATATGGGTAAGGCAGGCAGCCCACCTTCGTCACTGACTGAACCCAGTCCCACTGAAACAGACAGGAGGCGCAGAGCCCAGACCTGACAGAGGCACGGTGAGCTCTGCAGTCATGGGTCTGTCTCCCTGGGGAAGAGATGATCCATCACTGCCTACAGCAGGCAAACTTCTGATAATAGCCTAGAAGGTGATGCCCTGATACCTGTGACCTAGGAGACCACTAACTACCCCTTCTGTGATGATTAGGATGGGGAGATATGCAGGTGGGCCTAGCATAACAATCGGAGCCCCCGTAAAAGCAGACAGTTTTCTCCAATTAGCGGCAGATGAGAGTCAGAGGGACTGGGGGAATGAAGGGCTTGGGTAAGGACCAGAGAGAGTTTTGCAGGAGCTGAGAGCAGCCCTGGTCAGCAGTCAGCAAGGACCCAGGCCCTCAGTTCTGCCACTGCAGTAACCAGACTCACCAACACCTGAATGGGCCTGCAAGCAGGTTTTTCCTGAGCTTCAGGATAAGGCCCAGCCCCCACACCTTGACATTGAGCTTGTGAGACCCTGTCGTAGAGCCCAGTGGAGTCCACCTGGACTTTCCACCTGTAGGACTGGGAACTACTAATGGTGTTGCCTTAAACACTGAGTTGTGGTAGGCCACCTCCCTCACTGCCCACATCCCTCAGTCCTGGGGGAGAAAAGAGGAAGCATGAAGCCCAGACTTGACAGAGACACAGGAGGCCCACAGCCATGTTCAGAGCAATGTAGATGTGGGCCATGTTCAGGCCCACAGCGTTCAGAGTAATGTAGAGCCCTCGGAACTGCCTGCTGGGCCTGGCCTGCCTGTGTGAGCTCTCATGCAGCGGGTGGGAGCCTAGTGCCCACCTGGATCTTGTCACACCAGCCAGCAAAGTAGCGGAAGGTCTGGATGGACATGCCCACATGGGTCTTCAGGGCCAGTGTGTAGACAGCACCTGCATCCAGAGCCTCAATGGTGGCCAGCTCTTCCTGATGCTCTTCCATGAGATCTGCCAACCTGGCCAAGGCATGGAGGAAGGAAGGAAGATGGGTTCAGGCCTGGCCTGCTTTTTCAGGGCCCTTCTTCAAGGAGTCAAGAGCCCTGCCCTGCACAGTCAGGTGCGCTGACCTCAGTTTCCTCATCTATGAGATGGAACAGTAACATTTACTTCACTGGGTGAGTGAGAATGATGCCCTCTGCTCTGCTCTCCACCCCCTCTCCCCCCTTTCTTCCTTTGTCAAATCATGGTGAATTGACTATGTTATCATAACCCCCACACATGACCCTGCAGAGGAGTCTGCCTGCCTCCAACAAGGAAGTCATCATCCCAGGAGGCTAACCTCTCTGTCTCCAGATGGCCTCTACCAGGGGAAGGCCTATCCAGCTTCCAGCACCAGCTAATCTAATGGAAACTGCTCCCAAGGCTGGTGTCTCCAGGGACAGAAAGTGGGATGACAGGAGGGATGTGAAGGAAGGCATGTCTACACAACCCTCCTGGAGTCTGAGCACTCTGATGTCTGGTTGTTCTCCTATGATTCTGGTGGGCATGCTGCTGTGGTCAACCTAGGAATTAGAATGGTGCCCCCTTTCCTGATGTAAGGGTCATATGCGCCCAGCAGGCAGGGTGAACTGGCAAAGGTAGGGACCACCGATCTAGAGCAGCCCTCAATCTTGCACATGGAGAAGGTTGAGCCCAAAGACAAGTATGGGATCAAAGCCTACTGACCTCTTCCCATTCTGTTCCTTTCTGCATACAGCCACTGGCAAGGCCCTAATACCCCCAGGTCTTTTTCAGTCTTCCTGCCTACACCTCCAGTTCTCCCAATGGCTGCCCGTAGCACCCAGGATGCAGCCCCTACCCTGTGCCTGAGCGACTAGCCCCAAGGACCTGCCTAATTCCTCCTAGGGCTGTGGCACCCACTTGCCTGTGAATTTGGGAGCCATGTGGCATGACATGGGCCCACACTGCTCTTCCTGTACTCCAGTTTCCCCCCCTCAACTTTCTGTACCTCGTTCAGACCCTCTAGGAAGCTGACCCTAACCCTACCCACCCCAAAGCAATCAATCCTGTCTCCCTGAAGTGTCCTGATAGCACCCTTGCTTCTTTTCAAACTTCCCAACTTCCACTGACATTCACTTAGATGAGTATTTCAGTACTATTGCCTCACCCATGAGGGCAGGGACAGCATCTGGCCTCCTGCCTCTCACTAGGCACATGGGCTGCATACCATGCAAGATTGGTGAGTGAAACTGTGGACTGAATAAGCACAACGAATTAGCCGCAGAGCCACACTGTCACCTCAGAAACAGTGCCCAGGTCACTCTATGGGTAAATCACTTGAGAAAAATTATAGACCAATTATTGAAAACACCATGTTGTGTATTTCAAGGACTAGGGTTCTATCAGCTACAAGGATAGGTGAGCCAAAGATACAAATCTACATTACAAATGAGCCAAAGACAGCCCCTAGGTTGCCAGGGAGGTTCTATGTTGTCTCCCTGGAGTGCTGGAGGGCTGGCTGGTAGCTTTCTCTAACTCTCCTTCCTGGATCTATCTTTCCAGCTTCTAAAATTTCTAGCATCATGTCTTATTCCTATAATGCCTTTCATATTCCATCATACCCGTGGTGGTCCTACTTCCCTCACTGAACCAAGGGTGTTCTGCAGCCACTTCTCTGGGGAATTCTCTCCTGCCCCCTTCCAGGGCAGCAATGGGCATGCCTCTTCCCTGGGGATGGGGAGGCTGACAGAGCAGGGAGCAGGTCACTAGATTTCAGGCATTGAGATGTCTGTCTACCCAGTTGGAGTCTCCACTTAAAGCTGTGCATGCAAACACCTCCTCACTGTCTTTGTTGTTGGTGGGGTTATTACATGTACCACCAGATGGCAGGAGAGTATCTCAAGGGAAGGACACTTTCTTCTGGGCCAACGCCACCCACCACAAAGGTCCCTATTCCAGGGCCTGCAGGTCACGGCCAGCAGCCTATGTATGCACATTTCACAGCTCTGACTGACCTTCAGAGGCTCTAGGTCACTAGCCCATGGCCTCCTAAAATGGATAGGTTCTCCAAGAATCCTAGAAACTAAAGTTAAGGCAGGCTGGGCGAGAACCTCCATATCCTTCACCTGTCCTAAACCCCACCATCTCTATTCCATTTTGCAAGCCATATAGGCCTCTCTCTTTGGCTTCCTGCTTGGAGGACTGCTGGGGCATGTTTTACCTCTGGAATAGAAACAAAAGGTATTCTGACTGTGTGGCCAAGGTGGGGTCTCTCCCACCAGATGACAAGCATGCTCGGGCTACACTATCATCAGGCCACATTCCAGACAGCTTCCCAGAACCCAGAGCATCAAAGCCAGGTTCCTGAAACTGTATCACCAGGTTCTTAGATACTGCTCAGTTCATCTGTCCAGCACCCTCCCTTCTGCTGGAAACATCACTCCACTATCTTGGAGTGATTGCTTCACCCCCCCACCGGAACCACCTAATTCTAGAGGAACAGCTCCTCTCTTCTGGGCCTCACTTCCACCTTGTGGTCACAAGCCAGAGAAGTCCCAAGTCCTTCCCTAAGACTTCTGATTGGAATTAAGGAGAGAGAGAGCCCTTTACACCTGACTTTAGGGAGAGGAAAAAAAGGAAAATGTGAGAAGGAGCCCCACATCTGCCCTTGCCAGCTGTTTGAGTCTGCCCAAAACCAGCTGTTAGCTTTGCCATTTTGTAGCTCCCATCTGAAGCACTGCCTCACCTTTGTACCTCATTATCTTTGCTCACATTGTCTCCTCTACTCAGGATACCTTTCCCCTAAGGCCACCTGTGAAATCCCTCTTGCCTCCCAAGTCACTTCCTCTGAGTAGCCTTTTATGAGCTTCAGGCCTCAGTGACCTGTCCAGGACCCCAGCTCCTCTTGACAGGACCATAACATCCACCCTCACCCTGAGCTGAAGGTGGTGGTGGCTGACAAGTGGATGTGTGGCTCTCACCTGTACAGGAGCTGGCCCCGGTCCCGCGCGCTGATCTTCCTCCACAATCCGTTCTCAAAGGCATCTTTTGCAGCAGCCACTGCCTTGTCAACATCGCTGGCCTGCGCCAGGGACACCTGGCAGATAACCTGTGGTGGAGCAGAGCTCTGAAGCCCTCCCTAGGCTCAGTGGACATGGACACAGACACAGCACCTCCCTGCTCTCCCGGCCACCTGGTGTGCCCAGAGAAGAAAGCCTGCCAGGGGAAGGGCACTGGAAGGGAGCAACAACGAGAGGAAGATGGGTCCTAAGAAAGGTCTGTTTGTATTTCTACATACCAGGGACCTTCTCTTCACTTTCCCACTGAGTCCAATAGGGCAGCAGACTTGGGCTGCAGACTGAGTCTGAGTGTTTTCAAACCAAAAGCATGGACCCATTTCAGCAGAAGTTTTAGCAGAAGTTTTCTTTCTTAAGTGGAATAGGCTAGACATTGGAGGAGATTGGACAGGTTGCCTCTCTGCACAGCACACCCTCAAGGTGCTAATATTCTCTACAGCACAAGACTTGGCACAGCTGGGAGAGAAGGGAAGGAGGGGTGAGGTCAGTGCTTCCTTGCTGATCAGTATAGATAGCACCTGCTAGGCAGCCCTGCCCCTATAGGCTCCAGCCCAAGACCCCCAAAGTATGTTTTGAGGTGGCAGCAGTGCTCGATGTTCCTGTCCAAGGGCACTGTACCCCTTGTCTATGTCCCCACAATTTGTTCATCTCTTTGGGAAAAACTTTCTTTACACTCCCGTCAGATGAGCCATTTTGAGTGTGCTATCACTTTTCTGCGTGAACTGAAGTGATGCTGTAGAATGGGACAGAATAGAAAATGATCAGAATATACCTGTGAGAATATATTCTGTTGTTCCAGGTATGTACATGTGTGAGAATACATGTGTGCATGGGTCACGACATAAGAGGGTCATAATCAAGAATCTTGACAAACACAGGATTCAAGGAAGAATTTCCTGATATTGGGGTACAAATATTTGGGAAGGTGGGGCCCACACTGGGATAATTGTTGAAATGTGGAGGAGGGTATGGTCTTCTTGTCTTCTTTGGGAGGTTTTAACTCTATTCCAGGCCTATGGAGCCAGCTCAAGACCCTTTAGAGTCCTCTGGTCCCCAACCCCCGCCAACCTCTCCACTGTGCCATTCCTGTAAGGAGGTCTGGAGAATGACTGCAATCCTTTTGTGTCCAAGCATAAGTCCCCTGGGACAGGACCCCCAGAGGTCATATAGGGGAGTAGATGGGAGAACACACCATGGATGGGGTAGCAGTAGCAGGGAGGCAAGAAGGGGGTGCTGGGCATGCACTCACACTTCCATCTGTCGGGTTGATAGTGTCATAGGTCTTGGCACCCTCAGCATCCACAAACTTGCCCCCAATGAAAAGTTGGTGGGGCATTTGGAGGACCAGCTTGTTCACTGCCTTTTCCACCTGGGAAGGAACATTTCACAGGTTTTAGCTGTAGTGTGGATTCCTCACAAATGGGCATCAGTGAGTGGCACAAACCCTCATGGAGACGTAAGAAACGCTTAGGTGGTGCTCGCTTCAGCAGCACATATAGTGAAACTGGAATGATACAGAGAAGATTATCATGGCCCCTGCACAAGGATGATAGGCAAATTTGTGAAGCATTGCATATTTTTTATGAATAAGTACCTATCAATAATAGCCTTAAATGTAAATGGATTAAATGGTCCAGTCAAAAGGCATAAGGTAGCTGAATGGATAAGAAAACATGACCAGTACATATGTTGCCTACAAAACACCCATGTCAGAACAAAAGACCTGCACAGGCTGAAAGCGAAAGGTTGGAGAACAACATTCCAAGCAAATGGACAGGAAAACAAAGCCAGGATAGCAATGTTCATATCAGAAAAAAATAGACTTCAAAATAAAAGCCATAAAAAAGAGACCCAGAAAGACACTTCATAATCCTCAAGTAAAGAATCCATCAAGAACACATAAACATTATAAACATATATGTACCCAATATAGGAGCACTGAAATATATAAGGAAAATCTTGGAGGACTTCAAGAAAGCTATAGACAGCAACACACTTATACCAGGGGATTTTAACACCGCACTGTCAAAAATGGATAGATCTTCCAAACAAAATATCAACAAGGATATTGCAGCATTGAACAATGCTTAGATCAAAATGGATTTAACTGACTATATATATATATATATATATATATATATATATGGACAGGAAAAAGGGTATATATATATATATATATATATATATATATATATATATATATCCCCTTTCATCCCAAAGAAGCAAAATACACATTCTTTTCAAATGCACATGGAATATTTTCAAAGATAGACCACATGATAGGACACAAAACAACCTTCAACAAATTCAAGAAAACTGAAATTGTATCAAGCATTTCTTGGACCACATGGGCCTGAAACTAGAAACCAACCTCAAGGAGAAAACTGAAAAATACTCATATTAGTGGAAATTGGTTAGCACGCTACTGAACAATGAATGGGTTTAAAATGAGACCAAGGGAGAAATCAAAAGCTTTCTGGAAACAAATGAAATTGAACTCACAGAAGTCCAAACCTTATAGGACACAGTGAAGGCAGTATTGAGGGAAGTTCACAGCACTACAGGCCTACCTAAAAAAGACAAAGATTTCAAATAAACAATCTAACCCTACATCTACCAGAACTGGAGGAACAACAACAACAACAGAAAGCCTGGAGCGAGTACAAGGAAGGAAATAACCAAGGTCAGAGCAGAATTAAATGACATATTCTAAGGGTCAATAAATCCCAGATCAGGTTCCTTGAAAAGATAAACAAAATCTACAAGCCTTTAAGCACATTCATCAAGGAAAAAAAAAGACAGAAGTCCCAAATAAACAAAATGAGAAGTGAAAGAGGAAAGATTACCACTGATACTCCAGAAATACAAAGGATTGTAAGAAATAACTATGAACAACTATTATGTTAAGAAATTTGAAAGCCTGGGCAAAATGGACAAATTTCTAGAAAAACAGAATCTTCCAAAACTGAATGAAGAAGAAGCAGAAAGCCTGAATAGACCAGTAACAGCTGACTGAGTCAAAGCAGTAATCAAAAAACTCCCAGCACACAAAAGCTCTGGACCTGACGGTTTCACGGGAGAATTTTAGGAAACACCTAAGGAAGGGCTAGCCCACATCCTTCACAGACTACTCCAAAAAATCCAAGAAGAGAAAAGACTCCAAAACCCTTTTTATGAAGCGGACATCTACAAATCCCAAAGCCATGTAAAGACACAACAATGAAAGAAAGCACAGGTCAATATTGCTGATGAACACAGACACTAAACTCCTCAACAAAATATTGGCCATCCACATCCATCATTAAATGAAAAAGATCATACACCGTAATCGAGTGGGATTCATCACAGGGATGCAAGGATGGTACAATATTCACAAATCAATAAATGTAATACATCACATAAACAAAAGCAAAGTCAAAAATCACATGATCATATCAACAGATGTGAAAAAAAGCATTTGATAAGGTACAGCAGCCATTTATGATACAAACACTCAGCAAAATGGGAGTAGAGGGAGCATACCTCAACATAATAAAGACCATATACAAAAAACCTACAGCCAACATCATACTCAATGAGCAAAAACTAAAAGTTTTCCCACTAAGATCAGGAACAAGACAAGGATGTTCACTTTCATCACTTCAATTCAACATAGTACTGAAAGTGATAGAGCTACAGTGGTCAGGCAAGAAAAAAAAAGGCATCCAAATTGGAAAGGAGGAAGTAAAACTGTCACTGTTTGCAGATGACATGATAGTGAACATAGAAAATCCTATAGCCTCCACAAAGAATCTTCCCGACCTAATAAGCAAATCTGGCAAAACAGTGGGACAGAAAGTCAATATTCAGAAATCAAAGGCATTTTTGTACACCAACAATGAAATATCAGAAACAGAAGTCAGGGAAAAAAAAATCCCACTTGATGTAGTAACAAGAAAAAATAAAGTACCTAGGAGTACACCTAATCATGGAGGTAAGAGATGTGCACTCAGGAAGCTACACAACACTGACTAAAGAAATTAAGGAAGACACAAATAAATGGAAGCATATACTATGTTTATACATTGGAAGAATTAACATCACCAAAATGTCCATACTACCCAAAGCAATTTTTAGATTCAATGCAATCCATAGGAAATACCAATGATATATTTCTCAGACATAGAACAAACATTTCAAAATTTATATGGAACAATAAATGACCCCAGATAGCCACAGCAGTCTTGAGAAAGAAGAAAAGAGTAGGAAGGATCACAATACCTGATATCAACTATATTACAAGGCCATGGTAATCAAGACAGTCCGGTACTGGCATGAGAACAGACACATCGATCAAAGGAACAGAATAGAGAGCCAGAAATAAACCCAAGTGTCTGTGGTCAATTAATATTCAACAAAGGGGGAAGAAGCAAAAAATGGAGTAAAAAGAACCTCTTCAACAAATGGTGTTGGGAGATGTGGACAGCTACATGAAAAAAAAAGGGACTCAACCACCAACTTACACCATACAAAAAAATACACTCAAGATGGATAAAAGACTTAAATATGTAGTCACAACACCATGAAAATCCTAGAGGAGAACATAGGCAGGGAAATCTCACATATTCCACACAACAATATTTACACTGATATCAAGGAAAGAATAAGCAAGTGGGACTTCATCAAAATGAAAAGCTTCTACTTGGCTAAAGAAAGCATCAGCAAAATGAAAAGGGAACCAACAATATGGGGAAATATATTTACAAATGATATCACAGACAAGGGTTTGAGTTCCAAAATATATAAAGAACTCACACAACTCCACTCCAGGAAGGCAAACAACACAATGGAAAAATAGGCAAATGATCTGAGCAGACACTTCTCCAAGGAGGACATACAGAGGGCCCAGAGACACATGAGAGGATACTCAGCATCACTAGCTATCAGAGAGATGCAAATTAAAACCACAATGAGATGCCAGTCCACACAGGTCATAATGGACATCATAAACAAATCAACAAACAAATGCCGGAGAGCTTGTGAAGAAAAGGGATTCCCAGCGAACTGTTGGTGGAAATGCAGACAGGTGCAGCCATTGTGGAAAAGGGTATGGAATTTCCTCAGAAAACTAAAAATGGAACTGCCTTTTGACCCAGCAATTCCACTGCTGGCATTGTAGCCCAAGAATCCTGAAACACCAATTCAAAAGGTCCTATGCACTCCAATGTTCATAGCAGCACAATTTACAGTAGCCAAGTGCTGGAGGCAACCTAAGTGCCCTTCAGTAAATGAATGGATCAAACAACTCCGGTACATTTACACAGTGGAATTGTGTACAGCAGAAAGAAAGGAATTCCTATTCTTCTTGACAGCATGGATGCATCTGGACAGCATTATGCTTAGTGAAATAAGCCAAGCAGTGAAAGACTAATGCCATATGATCTCACCTATAAGTGGAACCTAATCAACAAAACAAATAAGCAAGCAAAATATAACCAGAGACATTGAAATAAAGAATGAACTGACAGTAACCAGAGGGGAGTTGGGATGGGATAATGGGCGTAAAGGCATAAAGTTCATCAAGGAACATGTATAAAGGACACATGAATGAAGCCAAAGGGGGGTAGGATGGTGAGTGGGAGGTAGAGATGGCTACATTGGGGGTGAGTGGTAGAGGGAACATGGAGACAACAGTACTTGAACAACAAGGAGAAAAAATAAAATGCAAGATTATTTCTTTCTGCCAGTGATGGTCAGGTTGAAGTGTTTCTACCAGCCACATTTTTAACATTATATCAAAATATTGACATATTTTCTACAGTGTTAATAATTTGCATTGCTAGAAATAAAAGCTGGATGCCCCCCCCCAAAAAAAATAAAGAAACACTTAGATGGACAACTACTGACATGTTTGTGCACACACACACACACACCTGAGGGATCTACTGTTGGGGAAGACTGAGGATCTGAGTGGTAAGAAGAAATGAGAAGCATAGACTCTGTGGCCAAACTGCCTCAACTAAAGTCCCAGCCCTGCTACTTACCTGCTATGTGACCTCAGGCTGTTTGCTTGACCTTCACATATAGAAAGTAGGTGGACAGGTCCTTGTAAGCTGCCACACTTGACACCATCCCCCTCCACATACTTCTCTACAGATCTGCAACTCCATGCTGAATGCAGGAGTCTCTGTGATGCTGACTCCTTCCTGAAGCCTGTTCATCAGTCATTTCTCCACAAACCCAAAGCCAAACTGAAGTCCATCCTGACAACCTGTGATTTCTTCATCAGCCTTTGTTTCAAACTACCAACCAAATGGACTACCCCAGAGCTAATTACTGTGGGAGTTTGTAGCTTGCCGAGATGACCTGGCAATAATTTCCAAGAGTTTCTTTAAGAAACAGATTTGCAATTACTTCATCACTCTTCCATAACACAGGTGGAATGTATAGGAACATTTGGTTTCTTTATTGGGAAAATAATCCAAATTCCCTTTTCTCTTGCTCTCTTTTTGTTCTAGCATTTCAAGAAACATAATTTAATGCAGAGAATTGGTTACACAGGTGATGGAAGAGCTGAGAAGCCATGAGTCAACCCTGAGATCAGCAACAGCAAGAAGCCACTGCCATCACCAAATTAAAGGGACAAATGGAGGAGACAGTTATACCAGAACTAGGGGCTAGGGCCACTCAGAGGAACCAGAGTCAAGGCAGGATAATCTGGGAGAGGATGGAGGCACAGTGAAGATGAACCTGAAAAAACCCACAAAAGGTGAAAGAAGGAGAGAAGTGCTCTCTGTACAAGCTTCTTATTATTATCCTTGCTTCATGTCTTGGAACTCAGAACTTGTCCTATATACTGAGTCTTAGACAGAAATTTCTTCTGTTGAGTTTGCCTTCCTGCCCTGGTGTCCTCAGGCTATCCAGAGCCGCCAGAGAGAGCTTGGGACACTGAAGGATGGGCTCTTGGGGGTCCTGCCTTCCTATTCATCCAGGTTTTCTCCAGGTGTCATTTTGGATCCATAGCTGTCAATGCCTGAGGTGTCTACAGAGCCATGCCCATGTGGAGGAGCCCAGAACTCACGTAGTCAATGATGCACTCGCTCTCTTTGTCATCCCCTCGCAGCTTTCTCACTAACAATTGGATGAAGTCCTTGAAGGTTGTTGCCATGTAAATGTCTTCATTTTCTAATTCCATACCATCACATAGCTCTTTCACTTCTTCCACCAGTCTGAAGGAAAGGAGATATTAAAGAGTAGGACCACAGAAAGAGGCATGGCAGACATGCATTCTTCTAGCAGCAGAGGTGCTGGTGTCAAGCACATTTATCCAGAAGAGACTTTCATCCTAGCACCTCAAACATGAGTATTAGTCTAGAACTGGGGTTCAGATCCCAATCCATGGACTGAGAAGGCCCTGGTTTCAAGTTCTGGCTCCACCACTTACTAATTTGTGATCTTGGGCAAGTGACGCACTCTTCTGAGTCTCAGTTTCGTCACCTGTAACATGGGAGTAATTATAGCTCCACTATTATTTTGTGATGAGTAAATGAGATAATCCAATTATTAATAACTAATATGAGATCAATAATAATAATTTTCAAAAGACACTGTTAAACATGAAAAAAATGAGCCACAGATTGGGACAATATATTTCCAAATCATATAGCTGATAAAGGAATTTCATTCAAAATATACAACAAACTTTCAAAATTCAACACCAAGAAAAAAACAATCTAAGTAAAGATGGTCAAAAAATTGATCAGCTGTATTACCAAAAAAGAAACATGGATGACATGTGAAAAGATGCTGAACATCATTAGTCATTAGGAAAATGCAAGTTAAAACCAAGAGACATGGCTAGATACTCATGAGAAAATCTAAAATTGTAAAGCCTGACCATACCAATTACTGGTAAAGATATAGAGCAACTGAACTCTCATAAACTGTTGGTAATATTGTAAAATGGTACTTTGCAAAGAGGTTTGGCAGTTTCTTAAAAATTAAACATACGCCTCTCATTTCACTTTCAGGCATCTACCCAAGCAAAATAAGTGCCTTCATATAGACAGATGATGACAGAGTAGGAAGCTCCAAAAGTGCATCCCTCCACCTAAATAATTATTGAACTTGTAGGAACTGCCTGAATCAAATGTTTTGGAACTCTGGAGTCAAGTGAACACTTGCAGTATCCAGGGAAAAGCATGATGAGGAGCTGGCAAATGTCAGTAAATTTCAGCGACTTTTAGCCTTTCAATGAGGTATTGGTTGCCATCTCTTATCTCTCATCTTTGTGGCAGGAAGCCATGCAGGCAGCAGGCCATACTCCTGGTTGCAGCTGGCTGGAGCCAGGGTGGGCAATAAGAACTCTGTCTTTTGTAACTCAAGATTATGTGTTCTGAGTGTTGATACTGAACACTGAGGAGCCAGCACGAAGTCTGGCAGTCATTGTTTCAGTCTCCACAGGCTGAAGCAGCTTCCCTGGGATTTAAAGAGGCAGTCCATTTGTTTGTTTGGTTTTTACTTTCTTTCCCTTTGGGGAGCCAGACATTTAACAAACTCTTGGCTAGGTTACAAGCTGACTGTACAGATAACAGAATAGAAATTTTAATAACTGACTACATACAAGAAATACCCACTTTAAAAAAAAAAGTTTGGATAAGTCACAAATGAATGGCTCCAGCCTGCAAGAACTTGATTTTGAAAACCCTAAGAAATGACAGAATTAGACTTTCAGAAGTATCACAATAAAATACTCAAAATATTGTTTTAAACCAAAAAAAAGCAAAAAATATAGAAAATATAGCCCATTCACAGGAAAACAGGAATTTAAAACAGGAAATCCTGAGGAAGAACAGATACTGCAATTGTTAGTCAAAGATTTTAAATCAACTGTCTTAAATATGTCCAATGATCTTTTTAAACCATGAACAAAGAACTAAAGAATATCATAAAAAATGATATATGAAAATGACAGTGTTAACAAAGATAAAAATTACAATAAGAAACCAAACAAATTCTCAAGATGATAACTACAATTATTGGAGTAAAAATTCTCTAGACAGGTTCAACAGCAGATTTAAACTGGCAGAAAGAAAGCATCAGTAAACTTGAAATTACCTAGTATGAGAACCTGAAAAAAAAAGTGAATAAAAATAATTGAGCCTGAGGAACCTGTGGGACATCATTAAACATATCAACATACCCATTATGGGAGTTCCAGTGGAAACCAAAAAAAAAAAAAATTATCTAAGGAATAATAATTAGAAAGTTCCTAAATCTGAGAAAACATGAATATACATGTCCAAGGAGCTCAATGAACTCCAAGAAGGATAAACTCAAAGAGAACCACAATAAGACACATTACAGCTAACTCACTGAAATGCAAAGACAAAGAAGAAACTGGAAAAGCATCAAGAAAGAAGTGACTCATCACATACAAAGGATCCTCAATAAGATTAAAAGCTGATTCTCCTCAAATACCATGAAGAACAAAGGCAGTGGAATAGAGTCCTGAAAAAAAAATAATCAAACAAAAATTAACAAAAGGAACATTAAGACATTTCTAGATAAACAAATGTTGAGGGAGTTCATTACCTGTAGACCTGTCCTACACTAAATATTAAAGGAAGCCTTTCAAGCTGAAATGAAGGGCACTAATGACTAACTGAAAGCCATAAAAAAAAGGAAAAAGAAAACACTGGTAAAGGTAACTACATAGGTAAATGTGAAAGCCAGCAGTATTGTAATTTTGATATAGTATATAAGTTCTCTCTTTGTCTTATGTAATATAATAAGCAAATGCATGAAACAGTAAGTTAAGTTCTATGTTAATGGCTATACAATGCACAAGGACATAATCTGTGAAAATAACAATATAGAGGGGGAAGGACAGAGATGCATAGGAGTAGAGTGTTTGTGCACTATTGAAACTAAGCTGGTTTTATTTTAACTAGTTATTATAGGGTTAAGATGTTAATACAATCTCCAAGGTGAAACTAAAAATAACTAAAAAATAAGAAGGGAACCAAAATTATACATTACCAAAAAAGCAGCAATGGAAAAACGGAGGAATATATGAGACATACAGAATACAAATGAATAAATGCCACAGGTAAATCCTCCTTTATCAGCAGTCTGGATAAATGAAATGGAAGAGTGAGTGAAAAACAGCATTCATCCATATGCTACAAAAGATTCACTTTAGATATAATTACATAAAAAGTTGAAAGTACAAAATGGAAAAGATATTCCATGCAAATAGTAAACAAAGAGGGTTGGGGTGGCTACATTTTGGCAGACAAAATAGATTTTAAATTGAAAAAGTTTAAAAGAGACAAAGAATACTGACAAGTTTGACACAACAAGACAACATAACAATTAAAAACATATATGCACCGAAAAGCACAGCCCCATAATAAAAAAAATTGGCAGAATTGAAAAGAGAAATATACATTTTATAATAATAGTTAGATCATAAATCCCCAACTTTCAGTGATAAATAGAAAACCATACAGAAGATAGAGAAATAGAGGACTTAAGAAAACACTATAAACTGCGGCGAGGGGGGGAGGTATAAGGGGACTAAATGGTAATGGGAAAAAAATGCAACCCCCCCACTATAAATCAATTGTATATATACAGAGCATTCCACCCAAGAAGAGCAGAATTCATATTCTTCTCAAGTCCAAATAGGATATTCTCCAGGATAAGTCATTTGTTAGCCACACAAGTTTTAATAAGTTTTAAAACATTGAAATCTTATAAAGTATCTTTTTATCACAATACAATAAAAGTAGAAATCAATAACACAAAGAAAACTGATAAAAATCACAAATATGTGGAGATTAAATACACATTCTTTCTAAATTTTTAATTTTTCCAGTTTTATTGAAAAATAATATACATCATTGTATAAGTTTAAGGTGGAGGGCATGATGTTTGATTTACATATATTGTAAAATGATTACTATGATAGGTTTAGTTAACATCCATTGCCTCATTTAGATACAATAAAAAAGAAAAATTTTACTCTACTCTTAACAACTTTCCTGTATATCATACAGCAACATTAACTATAGTCACCATGTTGTACATTACATTCCTACTACTTATATATCTTATAACTGGAAGCCTGTACCTTTTAACCACTTACATCCAAACCCCCTTCCCCCAAACACCCCCTACCCCACACCTCTGGTAACTACAAATCTGATCTCTTTTTATATGAGTTTAGAGGGTTTTGTTATTGTTAGGTGTTTTGTTTTTTTGTTTTTGTTTTTTTGGAAGACTTCATGTATGAGATCATACAATAAATGACACTTTCTTCTTTGAAGATTTTTTATTTATTTATTTCTGGAGAGGGGAAAGGAGGCAGATAGAGAGGGAAAGAAACATCGATGTGTGGTTGCCTCTGACTCGATCCCCACTGTGGACCTGGCCTGCAAGCCAGGCAGGTGCCCTGACTGGAAATCTAACTGGTGACCCTTTGGTTCCCAGGCCATGGCTCAGTCCACTGAGCCACACCAGCAAGGGCTAAATCACACTTCCTTAAACAACCAATGGGTGAAAGAAGTCACAGAGGAAACTATAAAGTACCGTCAAAGAAAAAGAAAACCACAACATACCAAATCTTATGGATCACAACAAAAGTAGTGCTAAGAGGGAAATTAACTGTAAAAACATACATTAAGAAAGAAGAAAGATGTCAAGTCAATAGCTTAACTATACACCATGTAATTAGGAAAAGAAAAGCAACCTAAAGCTAGCAGAGAGAAGGAAATAGTAAAGATTAGAGCAGAAATAAATGAAATAGACCTGTAGTATTCCTGAGTCTCTTTGTCTGGTTTTGGTATCAGGGTAATGGATGCAGACTTTGTAGAATAAATTTGGAAGCGTTCCCTTTTCTTCATTTTTTTCTGTAATAATTTGAGAAAGATGGATTTAATTCTTTACATTTTTAATAGCATTTGCCTGTGAAGTGATCTGGTCCTGGACTATTGTTTGGAGTTTTTGTTTACTTATTTTTTATTTAATGGGGTAACATTGGTGAGTAAGACTATATAGGTTTCAAGTGTACATTTCTATGACACAACCTACATATTGCATTGTGTGCCTCCCCCCAATGTCAAATCATCTTCTGTCACCATATATTTGACCCCCTTTACCCTTTATGACTCCCCCACTCCGCAGCCTTCTGTTTACAACCACACTGTATTTATGAGGTTTTGTCTTTCTTGTTTATTCAGTTGTTGC